ACAGGCATAATATTGTAACTAGTATTTTTTATACTTTATCATTTTTACAAATCATTTGTGTCGATACACATTAATATTAATGACTGATATTTTCAAATCAACATAGGCCCCATATCTTATAAACACATTACCATGAACTTTTTTCCTTAAAACAAAAATTTTTTCAGGAAAATCATCCATTAAATAATTTACAGTTAAGAAGAAGGGTTCTCATTTGAAAAACAGAAGTTTGTTCTCTACAAAACACTCTTTAAGTAGCACATAAGTCTTAAAAATTTWAAAAATCAGACTTTAAATAACTGTGCATTATTGAAGAAAAGACAGGAGACTAACTTAACGCTTAGTAAATTACTCTGTAATCTGTATGTCATAATTTAATGGCAAAAAATTAATTTTTCAGTTACATTTGATTGCATTATAACATTATATTTGATTGAAATATAATCAGTAAAATAATTGATTAAAATGAAATAGACTGATAATAGTAATACTAATTTTTATAGCGAATATTTTCCGACGAGAGATTATAATAGACATTTATATTATGTATTTTGCGTATTGCGTCAATCAACGGGTTATCAAATTAATGAACAACATCGTTTTCTATCAAATGTTTTTAGTATGCAAGTAATAAATCGCCAAAATCAAAAAAAATAAATTAAAAATGATTAAAAAACAAAAATATGTAATTAATTTAAAACCAAAAACCATCCATACACATTAATTTTTACCCAGAAAATTCCGAACTTTTTTGAACAAGTTTGAAGTTTCAGTCTTCATATTATTATAATTTCATGGAAACATCATTCAATTATTATTTTACATAATAACGTCAAGTAGTTTAAACATAAAATTGTACAGGAAGTAAAATAAAAATAGTTAATGAAAATATTAACGATTTTAAAATTAATGATATCAAAATTAGGTTTGTACATTATTTTACAATATAACATATTCACTTTCAAAAGTGTATTTTAATATGTTACGATAATTTTGTAAGTAGTACATTAAAAATTAAGTTTAACTAAAGCTATTACTAATATTTGTTGGGACACATGTAAATATATAATAATATGTAGTGCAAATATTTCGAACACTAAAAAATTGTAATGTAAATTTTGATTTTTGATTTATTATTGAAATAAAAATGTTATTGTTGCAGCCGTTGAATCCACCGTTACCATTCGGTCCATTCAGAATTAAAATTAATATCGTTTTTATTTATTGTACGATCAACGAAACTACTGCCGTTATTAAATGTAGTTTTATAATGACACCGAATCACCAAATTAAATATTGAATAATAAATACGAATTAATTACTAATGAATTATCTACACAAGTAGTGTAATAATTTAATAATTCGAAACGTTTATAATATGTTATTTTATAGTTATAAAGTATAAATGAAATTAATAAATTCATGGACGTTCTACTAATGCTACAACTTTTGCCATAAACTTTATTATGCCCATAATGCAGGTACCTATATACTATACGCTTATAGGCATAATTTATTTATATTATTTAATTTAAGTGTATAGAAAATTTAAGGTCTAAACGAATCTTGTTTTCATTTTGGAAGGTCCAGTGAGATGTATATATAATATTAAAATACAAAGGACAACAAATAAGATTTTACGATTTCTTTTTTTTATAATATTATACTTGGCGCTCTTTGTGACACAACGTGATCAGTTTTTTTTTTATATATATATTTATGCAGACATATAATCCTACGTTCGGCGCTCCCCACTATACTCAAAAATAAAGACTACACCTTGGGGGACGCCGTGTTGCAGTGTATATAGGCATATTTTCGTTTTAGAAAATGCAGCGTATATATCTTTCGGTTGTCGTAGATTTCCTGTTTCATTTTGAAAAACTGGTAAAGTAATAAATTAAGAAGATAAAAACAACAAGTTAGGCCTACCTACCTACACGTGCATTATACGAAACGAATCATTTCAATCAACCAACCCAACGTGGAGTTATCAAAGCATTAAAAATAATAAAATGTATTTTTTTTTCATATATACATAAGCCTATACACCTTGATATTTTATAACACCGACCGCATACCATASCTGACACGTCGGTGTAGAGATTTTTAAAGAAAATATAATACGTAGGTAGTATGTACATGCATCAATAGGGCTGAAAAAATATTATTATCATTTATTACATCGTTCGATCCCCAACACAGCATAATATAATATATATAATATATGGAAGTCTATATAATGTTAGTAGTTATAGTACAATAACCGTGTACAGTTTTTATTAATATTTGTTTGATCGCGTTGATTACATTTCAGTCCTCAAAGTTGGGCAGTCTTGTAAAGTACTTAAGTAAAAGTACTCAAATAATATTTAAATACTTTTTAGCATCTATTTTTAAAATTATTTTCTAACTTTCAAATACATTTTCTTTTTAGTTAATTGATATATTATTGTTTATTACTAATATAATATATCATCTATTATTAATTCAATCGAATTAAATAAATATGTGAGAAATGTCTGTGTGGATTAGTCACGAAATAAAATCTATTAAAAAAAAAAAATGTTATATAAAATGTTACAAAAGAAATATAATTTAATGTAATATATAATTCTATAATTTTTTTGTTTTAAAGCAATTTTTAGTGAATATCTGGACAACTGAGTAATGCGTGAGGTTAACGATAGTAATTTACTCGTTTTAAGTGACTATTACCTATACCCAACCGATAGTATTAAAATAACTTAGAAAAGTAAACAGATAAATGTTGAATAATTACCCAAATTGCATGGTGTAAAATTATCTTTAAAATTCATGTAAAACATGAAAATGTTAAAAAAATTCAGTTCAGGTGATTTTTATAACCTAAAATTAAATGTTATATACAATATTTGAAAGTATATATATTTTTGTACTCAAATACTTTTTTTTTTTTGCTGAGTATCTAAATACTTATTTTAAATACATTTCAAAAAAAGTATCTGTATCTGCACTTCAATACTTAAAAAAATATATTTTACAAGACTGTTGTAGAGTAACCTACCGATAAAAATTAGAAGTTCCCAGAGAATATATAATATATACRACAAGAAAATATGAAATTCAATCAACCGCGTTCACAATATAATTAATACTTAGTTAATTATAAAATAAATTTAAAACAATTTTTTTCCACCAAGCTATGGATACCCACAAAACATTAACTTTTATAGATATCTA